AGATGCAAATATTCCGCAAGAAACAGGGGAAAGAATTACTATCAGGTTACTTTAACATTTCTGCATACTGTTGTGTGTCCACGGAAAGATCAGCCAAACCTTAACCATGGATTAACACAGTGATGACGGAAGTCCGGTCTAGGGCACTTCAATCATAGCGTATTTTTTCTAAATAGCTAAATGTGCTATGTAAAACGATTTTGTTCGGCATTTCTCAACCGCATTATCCACAAACCCTTATCATTTTGGCGAAAGTCAAGGTTCTATTCGGTCAACGTTCTATGGTCATAACTCCTAAATTCCATTTAAGTGCTCCACTATCAGAAGGTATTAATGCAAATGACAAAAGATTATTAAAACAGCCGCCGTAAAACTGAAAACTTTTTTCAGACAATATTAAGAAGATTGAACAGGATGCGAATGAACAGGTTATTTTTAGAAGAAAACGCAATTATTTTTCCTTAGGAATACCGGATTTGGCCTAATGTGCAGTAAATATGCACAAATACGTCTACTACTCGGCAGCTTTAGCGGTGTAGTTTCTACTTATACATAAGTTTGAAACGGAACGGACATTTGTATGGCCACTCTGCAGTGTATTTCTACTCATGGAACGAATCCTAAAAATCAGTTCTTCGTTTTCGGAGGCAATAATATGAGTATATAAGAGAAGTTCACAAATCATTTTTGCTTAACTTAAAACTAGGAAAAGATTAAGTGAAAAAAAACGGCGGAACACCCCGCTAAAACAACGTTCAGAAGATAACTTATTGGATAGCATCCTTCAATTGATCAGGAAGATTTTCACCCCAGGCCTCCACTGTTCAACATAATTTTATTCGACTATTACGTGTCATGTTTCTGTAGAGCCTGTAAACAGGATTAATCTCGTCATTTGCATAAAAAGTACGTCCTAAAACTCACTACCTTTCAGTTCTTCTTTTCTATTTTTCTGTAAATGAGAGTTTCGGTCGATGCGCATGGAATGGTTGCCGATTAGTTAAATACTATCGGCGAATTTCAAAAAAATTCACGAGTTACGCCACCTACTTTAGGGAATCCAAAGGATGTATAAGTGTATGCCTCTTCCCGCGATTGTGCCTCAGGAATTCTGTCCGATACTACATTGGGGTACCACTTGCATTTCTCACAGGGAAAAATCAAAACAGGTTGCAATCCTCCCGCGCCCGAGGCATTGCTGAATACAATATTCCTTTTTCTTAAAACAATGCAGGTGCTTTGGAAAGCCAGAAAAACAGTCGTCTATTGTTAAAAGATGTCCGCCTTGGGGGTCAGCGACTGAATAAGCGGTTCGATTCCGCTTTGAGGCATACTTTTTCAGCTGTACAATTTTCCTACTTTTCCCAATCTGCGGGATAGGTTGTCCACGGAAGTTTAAATGGCGAATGAACAGAGAAAAAAATGGCGACTAACCTCACCAGCCCGAGGCTTGGGGTAGGCCACGTACAACCGGTTGGCGATGGAACCCTCACGAAGACTGGCAGCTCCGGATCGCAGTTTGGCCTCCACTCGGCGTGCCAGGAGATCATCACAGGCAGTCGCACGCACCTTCATCACGCCATCCTCAGTGAGGGTGGACATTTCGAGGAAGAGGGGCTTCTCCATATCGGCCGGGCTGGGAGACTCTGCGTCCGGCATCCGCACCAGTGAAGTGATCAGCTCACGATCTTCGTCAGATAGTTCGGCCAGCGAGCGAACATCCGACTACAAGCCATCCAAATTTAACGGCATTTTATTGG